TGTCTCTATCAGGATATCTTTCGCGCTACCACCGCAAAGCTAAATGTCTTTGTGGTTCATAGAGTAAGCTACCATTAAATCCATTCTATTTTGACACACCATGGCAAGTAAATTAACAAAAAAAAGCAAATAAAAAAAATGAAACTCACAAAAAACAAAAGAACAGACGCTTAAAAATTTATGTGTTCCATTTTAGAATTATTATTTTTATAAATTTCGTAACTGTGAGTTCAAAAAGAAAGCATACGTACTACAGTTTGTATGTCATTTTATTATTTTTATCACTCATTAAGAAATTCCTTTCATTTGAAATGCTATGTTATTTAGCAAAAAAATAATCCTTACGATTAACCCTTTCGATGGTGATTATAAAATATGTTGTATTTTATTTCGAAATTTCACGAGTTTGATTCCCAGTTGTAGCAGGCAATTAAAAAAAAACTGAGAATGCAGTTTTGGTTATTATTAAAAATAAAATGATGTCTTGTTTCAGTAAAATATCCTATCTTCAATATTTAATATACTTTCCCTCCATGTGAGGTATATGGGACGCCCTGTATAGCTCACCCGACGCACGGCACGACACAAGATGTATGGAATCGGTACAGATTCAATAAAAATGTTATGATGTGTCGTGGAAGTAGGATAGATACTGCAGAATACCTATTCTCGCCTCAACCTCATTTCTACAGCAATCTTCACGTTTTCCACCTCTACACACTTGTCACTGATTCGATATGTATTCAATATTTTATTGAAGAGAAAAAATCGGAGACGTATAAAACAACTTTTTTTTCTGACACATTTTTTTATGAATGACGTGGATTTCGATACTTGTAAGTGCTACAACTTAGTTTGACGTCTGCTTTGGGTGAATATATTAGGTTTATTAGGAAAAGTTTCTTCGCATTTTATATGAAAATTCAAAACACGCTTTGATAAAGTTTATTTACATTTAACTAAAGAAAATAAACTTTATTAAAGTACGTAGGTGCCATTTTGTTCGATAACTTTTTGCCATATTGTAGGTAAGGGACATGATCCCATTGCTATAGAAATTATGGGGCTTTTGAACAAAATACCGCGATGAGTGGTTTTGGCTGTCCTCCCGTGATGTTAAACTGACACTTTAAGAATTCTGAAGAGACCGAAACAAGTGGAAATCTGAAGATGCAAGGTCTAAACTATGCGGCCGATGCATTAACCTTCCAGTCAAACTCTCTTAAATTTTCTCGAGTGGCTAAAGATGTGTGAGGTCTACCGTTGCCATGATGAAAAATCACACCCCTTCTGTCGATTAATTCCGGCCGCTTTCTCTCAACTTCTAGTTGCGAGAATTAACTTCTTTAAAATTCAAACTTTTTAATAATACCAAAACCACAATCACATTGGTATAGCCACAGAGATTTTATTAGAAGTTCATGCATACTATAATGCGAAAAGACTTTTTCCCCAACCTATTATATTTTTTTAGTAGAGAAGATACGTAGGTACTTTTGACCAATTCATCTCAATCAAACTTGTCGTAATACTTGACTTTGTTTCTTCTTTGTTATGTTGTGTGAATGGGACGACAAGATCCTTCTTAGGTTTCACCGTTCTATTATCCTCTCAATCAATTAGCGCTTACAAGGCTATCTGAACGGGTCATATACGTACACACTAGGGATATCTCTTCAATCAAGGCTTGATAGGATAGGTGACGTTCAATTCGACCGAATGAGATATAAATGGAAAAGTAAACAGGCCGGGGGCGATCGGCCCGTGACCCAAACTACATATAACCATACGTTTGTTGTACCATGGGAATTCAAAGGTATAAAATGAAAAAGAAAATAAAGGACTCCATTATGATAAAAGTCCAAATCTAAAGAAAATATAACTAGAAAAAATTCCACGCGGACCAGGCAGCAGACGGGACTCGAACCCGCACCCTTCGCAATCCGGGCGAATGCACTGACCAATTATGCTACCGCGGCCCTCACGGACCGCGTCGAAATTCCTTCTAGCTATTCTTAAGCTGCAAGGCAGCGCCATCTCTTCGCATTATAGGTAAACCCACAATGTCAAATGAATACTTTTACAAGTATTAAACATTTGAAAGAAGAAATAGCAATTATAGTTATAATTTTTATTATTTTTAAAGCATGTAACTGCTTGATATTTAAATCTAAAGAAAATATAACTAGAAAAAATTCCACGCGGACCAGGCAGCAGACGGGACTCGAACCCGCACCCTTCGCAATCCGGGCGAATGCACTGACCAATTATGCTACCGCGGCCCTCACGGACCGCGTCGAAATTCCTTCTAGCTGTTCTTAAGCTGCAAGGCAGCGCCATCTCTTCGCATTATAGGTAAACCCACAATGTCAAATGAATACTTTTACAAGTATTAAACATTTGAAAGAAGAAAGAAATAAAATATTGTCTCGTCTTTTGGGTGCGAGCGATTTCTACTGACTTTTTAGCTTTTTACTTCCCACGATACAGACGAAGTACAGCGTAAAACTACAATTAATACTATGCAGTAATGTTGCAGTTGATTTTTTAAATACTTAACCTTACAAGAATTAGTTATCCTACAAATCGTCAATAAAACACTTTGTTATACAAAGTATGAAATTTTCATAATATATTTAAACTTAACATTAAACTATTTGAACAACATTGAATTTGTTTAATAAATTTGCCGGTTTGAATAACCTCATATTATTAACTCTTGACTAGCAATGCTAAGCAGTAGACTTTGCCTAGTGTTAAGAGTTCATAATACGGCTTTAGAGCCACTTAATATAATACGCTGACTTTTTCCAATTCTAATACTTTGTTAATAATAAAATGATGAATAATATTTTTCGGTTATCAGTGAAGTCGCAAAAGAACGAAGTTTTCCATCGAAATTCCCGATTTCCACGTAATTTATTCCTTATACTGTGCATAACAAGATTTGAACCGTGAAAGACAAGAAGCTTTCAAATTTAGATTGCTTTCATGCTTTTGGGGGTTGTATGAAAATATCCTAGAAAGGTAATTGTTAATGGCATCCCTATAGATGGAGGGCCGGCAATCCGATTACCGCGTCGCCGCCATTGCCGTCGGTGTCGTCAAGGCTCGGATCTTGCCCAATTATTGTCTGTCAGGACGCATCACACTCCGCGGAAACCATGCCGAAACACTTCGCACGATTTAATAAGTATAGAACATCACGGATACAAGTATTAATGTAGATACGATTGGCTAGCTACAACTAAATGTATACTGTGTTTAGACACAGGCATAGTTTTCCCACTAGTGAATTATTGATGCTGGATCTTTTTATAGTGCTGTATAAATAACTGGGCATTTTGCAAGACGAAGGGCGCGGCACTCTAAATTTCAATGGAACGTTGAAGCTCAAGGAATGTCTTAGCTAAACTCACTGAAGCAGTAGGTATCTTTTTTGCTACTGCGAAATAGAATAATATTGATAATGCTAATATTTGCTATGTTTTATTTACTACGATTGAACGGGATTTAAGACTATGCAGATGGGTACTACGTATACAATACAGGCAACCGATTGCGAACACTTATGGTGTTCTGGTTTTTTTTGAGTGTGTATGCTGTTAGTCGCAGATGACCTTTACAGCGTTATCGGGTTTGGGGAGGGCGAGGGGATCCTAACTTGGGCCCTCAAGCCGAGAATTGGCGAGTTGGCGGATGGCATCTCCCCACGGAGGGAGTCTCCTCTCCGTCTGGAGCCTCAAGACCATTCGAACCTGAGGGGGTCAGCTCAACTAGTGGGCATCTCTGAGAGTCGGACCTGTGCTCTAGTTGTCGTGTCCTGGGGGGCGGGGAAAAACGCCCAGGTACGTACCTGTACCGGGTACAGCGTGTCGTGTCTAGGCCGGGTCTTCGCACTCTTATCCTACGATGCGGTGTCTGCCTAATGCTAAGCTAGTGTGCAAGTTTGCTAGCTGTTTAGTGTTGGTGTTTGTGGCCTGTGTGGAAGGAGTCGGTGTGATTTTGTCGTCGGGGTATTCTAAGACGTACTTAGACCGACGGAATCGGAGGGATCTACGAGTAGAGGACCGGACCGGTTCGACGCTCAAGCATCTGGCATCTTTACTTCGGCATCAGATTAATCCTTGTGATACTGCTCAATATTTAAGAATTAATAAAATAATTAATTAGACTTGTTTCAAAGTAATCATGTAATAAATCAAAAGAAGGGGTTAATATTCCGATGTTCTTTAAGTATAATATAAAACCCATAATTTTTCGGTTTTTTTGATACAAGACTCAGTCAATAAGCATTTACGGACTCTAGATACATAAGTTTTCCATGTCTCGTAATCGCCGTCGTCCTCCCGAAATATTTCACGACCCTGTTAGCCCCATAATAGTAGTCGAGATGTTACGGTCGATTAGGATTTACTAAGACGAGACCATTAAATTGTTTTCCATGGTTACTCATTTGCAAAGTTTTGTGTTTACCGAGTGAACATTAACGAGAACTGAATAAGCTTTATTAGCGTAATTTTCCTTTTACCTATATAGAATTTCGGGTCAAGTGGGATATAAGATTAATTTTATATATTGATGCCTTTTCAATAAGAAAGAACATTACTTTTAAAACGGTAAGCATGTTCCTTTGGGCAATTTTCATAACCGTCTACGGAAGAAATTTTTAAACCTAACCTAACCTAACTGGTAAAGAAAAAAGAAGTATAATTGGTTAAGAAAACCAGTTTTTCATTTATTTTTTACAAGTTCATCATGTGCAATTTGACTAAACTATGCTACCGAGACTGTAACAGAACGTCGACGTATTTCTTGTCTATTCCATTTTAATATCACGAAAATATTAAACACAGATTGGCGCGCAAATGAGAAACCATAATGGAGGAGGAATGACAGATTCCAAGTTCAAATGTACTATTATAGATTTTTTACTGTAACAGTAGGTATTTTAGCCAGACTAAGTTGTAATGTTGACGTTTACCCTTTAATTGTTGCAGGGGTGCGGCTGAGCAGCCATACTGTGCCGGTAACGCGCACCCTGGAGCCCTACAAGGGCCCGCGTAAGTACTTTCTTTCTTTTGTCTGCAAACAATTTGATTTGTGCCTAGGGTTGCCAGGCCATAAAATGCAAAGGCCGGACTGCGCACTATATAAGGCCTGACATTTTGCCCTAAAAGCCGAACATATTCTTTTTATTGCCAAACATAATGTTTTTACAGTTGGGCTGTTGAAAAAAGTATTCATGCGTGATGTAAAGTGAGAATGAGATCGAAGATCGAAGCGCCAACAGTTTGCTCTCTTGTCCGCTCGGACGCTCGTCCGCCCATCGTCGTACGAACCGCCACTCTGACAAAAGCCGGACAGGCCAAACACGTACATATTTGGCCGGACGCGACCGCAAAAAGCCAAACATGTCCGGCTAAAACCGACAATCTGGCAAGCCTATTTGTGTCTTATGGAGTTTCTATAAACAAAAGAAAATGTGATACCTAAACTATTTATAGCTAGGCATTAAGTTGTTGATCTACATAAAGAATTATTTAAATGCAAAGTTTTAATGCAGACTGTTTGTGCAGCATATAATTAAGAGAACAGTAACTGTATGCAAAAACAGAGGTTTGTTGTTTGTTTGTTGTTCGTGTAGATGTAAGCTAAACTTGTGATATAAAGCAGATATAATTATGCAACAAATCGAATTTCAACTTCTGAATACAAAAATAATAATTGTTCTCAACCGCCATTCGACCAGAATTCAGTCTCCTTCGCAAATCTGTGAACAGTTCTTCTAATTCAGAACTTAAAAAGTATCCTTCTTCACGAAGGGAGTAGAGCGTATTTATTTTCCTTTTTAATTTAAGGGTTGTTAAGTCACCCTAATTAACTTAAGGCCGATGACAAAGTACCTACCCATTCTCTGTGGTTAACTTTGACTTGATAAGTTTATTACGAACCGTCCTCTTGGAAATAAATGCGGTAAAGTGGATATACCTATTCGTTTACATATTGCTGATTATGTTATACTCGTACAATAACTAACTATGGTATCTAGAGGATATTTTGGAATTTAATATTTTAGTCATCAGATTAAGTACAGAGCTTTTGATGATAGAAATAAGTTTTCAGTCTAACATATTTGGCAGAATATGGAATATGTCACAATACATTAAACCTACAAACAAGATCAATGACCTTACAAGATACTGACATTTTGCATTCCATACCTTCACTGCGGATTGAAGTTGGAACCTACGTCAATCGAATAGGCATTAATTAGGTTTGATACATTTTTGGTAAAAATTTAAATGTTATAAGTTGTACTCGGTGTCTAGGTGGAACGCGGCTTTGACATCTACGCACACGCACTATGATCTTATTGGCATTGGCAAATCCTGTGAAACTCACCACGGTAATATTATCTATACAGTATTGTGACTCGGCCCTGTCCTTGAAATAACTGCCTACGCCCGAGCGGGGCGTAAACACGCGGTAGGGCTGCCCGCCTACAGTATTTGAATTTCATCTACATAATTGAGTTTCTTTTTTGTTTTGTGATTGAAAATATTTTATTTTATATGTAAAAAAAATTGTTGTGAATGTAAGTGTTCAATAAAATACATGTTATTTTTATTTGTAAGTCATGGCGCAGTCGGGTAAAAAGGAAATTACCTATAATGTAGGTAAGTCTTACTAGGTAGGTACTGTAGGGATCGTTTCGTGCAAACTAATTATTGTCATTGAAACACTTTTATTTTCAGGAAAATACATATTATTATCAACAAACAAAATACTGTTTTTTAAACTCCGCACAAATCTCCCTATTTTATAATTTTCCATAGATATAATATATCGAATAATAGATATAGATAGAGATAGAGGTATATAAAAAAAATATTCTATGGTCTTATCTTTCCAATATTTCAGCTAATTTAAGAAATTATATCTCTGGGTGCGTTATAGAAGAGTTCAAGCAACCAAAAACAGCACAATATCGACTATTGCTCTTTGCCATATTAAATTATGTAGGTATCGATTTAATTCAATCAAATATTTACAATACAAATCGCACGTTTAAGCACGCCTAACTGCTTAAAAAACAATTCACACGGTTCGGTCGTCGCTGCGGCACATTCGCGACTGGATGCCCACCGGGTGCCGCGCTAACTCGAGTGGCGTAGCTATGACACGCTTTCCGAGCGTTTGTATGAAGATAGAATACTGTATAGATAATATTACCGTGACATCACGTTTGTTTGTTGTTAGGTATATATTTTTACGTCACAACCGCTCTCGTCGTGTTTCAAATAATTGAATTTTTTCACACAAGGATTTCGCACTGTTTTATCATTCATTTCTTGCTCGAAAATATTGAAGGAGGCACAACTTTAAGGTAATAGAGTTTATTGAATTACATGCATATTTTCTATAAAGGCAATTGAGACTTCGCTTCCTAATTTATTTACCGCTATTAATTTGCTGTACTTAAAACTTTTCTTTGTATCCTTTTCTCCTTATTTAGTCCAAGAAGACACAAGTACACAGTATAGCTTTGTTATTGTAGTAAAATTATTATGTGCCTGAGAACATTTTTAACGGCTAAGCATAAAGTAATGTTTACTACACCTTATTGTATTGTAACTTGTTCACTTGCCATTTCTCCTCAACACTCCAAAATAATTAACAACAAATTCAATAGGAGTTATTCGAGGCACTTCTACTAGAAAGCTACATACTGCATGTAACATTCATTGCTGGCGGTTGTCCAGTGAAAATAGTTCAGTTTTGATTCCATACCGACCACATCATATTTTAAAGATGTAACTATATGTATTCTGGGGTTTCCTATTATATTTTGACCGACAACGATCAAGTACATCGATATATTAACTTAGGTTAGATGATTGATTCATGGTGGGTTGAATGTCACATGTCGAACGTCTTTCGATTTGATATTTAATTTGATCGTTTGGTCCATTTCAATCTAGTTAATTCCATTTAGTAGAGATCCCTACACCCGCAAATTATTGCAACAACCAATCATTTACGCAACTTCAGTAAATTCATTATTGACTGATTTTTCGATCCCAAAATAAAACATTATATGTCACACTTATTAATTATATCGCTTTGATTAGAACATAATTTAATTGGTAGATAAGCATAAAGAATTCAAAGACCCGCCCATAAGTACTCAGTATTTATTTTGATAGTTATACTTATGTAGTCCGTAGTCGTAATTAGCTCTCTCGGTATGTAAGCAAACCTGTTACCAGCAGTAGGATGATTTATATGTTAAGAGAAGCTTGTTGTTCTTGGACAACTTTAACTCGAAATATAGTTACACTATTGCGAGTTCCTAAGTTCTCCCTCGTAACAGTTCGTAACCGAAATTATTTGTAAGATGATGTATTGATATATTGATATGATATTTGTAATTATGGAATCACCTGTCTCTGTATCTTAAGTATAATATAATTTATGTGCCCTTGGTTATAGTTTATTTTGTCTGTCCATTGACCAATATACTCATAGAAACTACCCCAAATGTCACGCAAAGTAACTTGTGCCCGCTATAATAACTAAAATTACGATATAAATGCATAGAAATAGTCTTTATTCTTTCACCTATAGCGACATGTCGTGAAATTTTACGAGGTTGCATGAACTGTCATAACTCTTTGACATATGCGTTTAAATTACAAGCTTATATACTATACATATTGGTGACTTTGAATGTTTAAATAATGCTTTATAACGTTTTTGGCTATGTGATCATCCCACGAAGTTCCGTGGATCGTCTAATGTACCTTTTGGACAGGTTCGGCTACGATTTTGTTCGTGATGTTGTATCTAAAATTTTTAATATCATTGGCCAAAACCAATAACTTCAAAATATTTTTTCAAATAACATGCCTGAATTCACGAAAAAATGTGTCACTTTAAGAAAAAACTTGCTTCTAATACACAGGTTATTCCTATCTGTTTTGGAGTCAGGACGCCTTTTGAGTTATGTTCTGATTTTTTACATTTTTGTATGAGAACGAGGACTGATAATATCATAATGACAGATTACAGTACCCTATATATTCTAATTCGGTCTTCTTCATTCGGCACTGCCGTAAATTCTGGTGCTGCGAAATCTAATTTACCTTTGGCCTCCTCGCTTTATGACAATTGATGGTCAGTGTTAGCTTCGGCTAGCGCCCACTTGAATGCAAACTCCAATTTCTTTTGAGCTTTTGTTTCTTCCTTAATTTTCTCTTTATTTCTAGCTTTAGCCTTTAATTTTGCTTGAATTATGTTCGTTTGATAAATTTAAGTTTAATAATATTATTAAATTTTACTCAAAATGTGTTAGTATGCTGTGCAATAAAATCGCAGGCAAATTCTATTCCCAAATAAGTATATTCTGAACTCACAATCAATACAAAATATTATTAATTAACGATTATTTGGTTGGTAAATTAAGCGAGAGCTATATGGTAGCTAAATTATGGTACGTATAGAATAGTCATACTGTAAAGACAGCTATGCTTCTGGGACAAATATCTTAACATCATCGTACAAATAAACGCCCCTCCTAGAATTCAAACTCTGGGCCTTTGGAGCTGTACTACAGCCGTTGCTACACATTTAATTACCTTTTCCAGTAACGAATTATAAGAAAGTTTTACGTTTCCAGCTTCCAAAGAGGCTAACTTGACTGTGACTATTTTCGCAAACGACGGTGGCGAATTCCTCGAACGATGTGTAAGGTTTCACTTCAAACTCTTTCTCATTCAGAATCTCTTTGATAACTTTCTTTTCGTCGTGGAAACGTGCCTTCAATTTTTCCACACAGAATTTAAAAAGGTCAAAGGACGTAGAACCACTTTGTCGTAAAAAAATTAAGTTATTTATAGCTATAATAAATAGAACATAAAGAATATTAATCAACTGTTTTAAACCAAATTCCGTAAAAAAGGAAAAAAGATTTGTACTTATGTAGCGTCACCGTGGGTATAATTGACCAATTAAGGCGGATTTTAATATAAATTACTATTTTCCTCTAATATAAAATGAG